AGCTCCTTTGAAGGAATCAGGAGTTGCATTTTGGACATTGTAAAGCTAAGGTGTTTCACAGAGGAGGTGTCCCATGGGCATCTGGCCATGCAGGTCTGGAGTTTGGCGGGGGGCGGGTATGGGGGGGGCTGTGTTGGAGACCACTGAGGGATGAGGCCTCAGGTCAAAGCCTGGAGATCAGACTCGGAGGAAGAATATTAAGGATATGTTTATCTTACGGAGTCCTTGAGGTGAGAGATTGGAGGGCAGGAAAGAAGGGGTGGACATCCTTCCTTCCCTCCAGAAAGAAGCATGGGAAGTTCTGGCTGGCCTCAGCAGGAGAGGGCTGTAGGGTATAAAGAACCTGGCCTGAGATGCAGAGGCAGATGTGACGCCCTAGAGATTTGCCACTCTGGACTCAGCCAAGGCACTGCCTGTGGAACAGAGGAAGAGTCAGCCTCGGCCCAAACCAGGGACCTGGTACATCAGTTCTCCCAACTCTTAGGTGAGGAGAGATTATGAACATCTCTAATGAAGGGCCACCGGCAGGCTCACCTTCAGAGGAGTATGTACCAGGTAGGCTGGTTTGGTGAGAGGACTAATGGACACTTGGCAGGTATACACAAGCAGTTAAAAATTTAAAATGGATAGATATGATAAGTTTATATTAATGCTTAGTAATTGATTGAAGTGGTTGCCTGTAAGTGTTTGATTATGATCAAAGTCTTAAATATCACATTTTCTTAAATCCCAAATATCAAAAACCTATCCCTTCATTTGCTCCAAAACCATTTGGGAAAATGTGAAGCTTGTGGGCAGTAAAAGTTAATTCAAGGATCCTTGACATCTACTAACGTGTCCGATACCAACAGTAGCCCTGTTAGGTGGGTACCACTATTACCCCTGCTTTACACATGAGGACACTGCAACACATCTTTGTTCATGGACACCCATCTGATAGGAGGCAACACTAAGGTCTTAGTATCTGAGATTAGACATTCAGAAATCATTCTCACCAAAAGGCAGGGCAGGAGTTAGAGGAATAGTTCAGTCCATGCTACCCCATTCTGGTAACCTGCCACGCTCAACTCCTTCTTTCTGCCAGGTTGCTTTGATGGCAGAAGCACTTAGGATCTCTGCACTCACTTTACTTACCCTTCTACTTGCCATTGAGTTTGGGGATGCTGGTGTTACCAACGGTCTTTTGCCTTGAATTGAGTGCAGAGGGATGAAGTGTGAAACAGTGCCCTAGGCGCAAGAACCAGCATGTGCAAAAACATCACTTTAGGCTGAACTAGGAGTGTTTAGGGAACCTCAGGTCTCCATTATGTCTAGTGTGATCAGAGAGCAGGGGACAGGATTCAACTCTGGAAGGGCAGCTGTGGAACTGGGCTTCTGTTTTGAGAATGGTGGGAGCCATGGAAGGTTTGGAACAGGAGGGAGTGATCTGACTGTGGTCTTAACAGGCTTTCTCTGGCAGCACAGTGAAAAAAAGACTCGGGGGTGAGGAAGGAGCACTGCTGATGATGGCTGGACTAGACTGGTCACTCTGGAAGCAAGGGACAAATGCTTGGATTCTGGTCCTTTTTTTGTTTTGTTTTTCTTTAGGGTTAACCAGATTTTCTGATGTGGTTGGTGAGGGAAAGAATGGGAAGAGTCAGGGATGATACCACAGCTCTCAAAGTTTTTGGCCTGAGAAGGTATAAGGATGGGAAAATCCTCCATTGAGATGGTGAAGTTGGTGGTGGGAGTAACTTTTAGAAGTAATATCAAGAATTAGGCTTTGACCGTGTTGAATCTGAGTGGAGGTACAGACAGCTGGGCACACAGGTTTGGATTTCAGAGGAGGGATTCAAGTCCACAAGGTGGCAGTCAGTATATGGATTAGAGTAGAGCTGCTTATCAGATTTATAGAGAGGACCTTTATGTCATAGTGGCGGTGCCATTAAGGGTCTGGAAGGGGGTGGACCTGGCAGAGTGGGATAGGAGTCACCTAAGAGACAGGAAAAGGGAGGTTACTGTCCATTTTGGAGGGAGAGAGTAGGATCTGGCAGGTGGGAAGGTCTTCCAGAGAGCGTGGACACGAGATGGATGCTGGGGTAGAGCAGTATTAGAGATGAGATGAAAGTGAGGCTAAAGCAGGTGCTTTCCCTTCTCTGTGTGCTTCCCAGGTGTTCATGGTGACCTTTAGTGGGATGTGGGGAGTTTCAGTCAAGCTGGTAGAAGAGCTCAGGGGCATTGGGTCAGCTGGCAGAGTAACTATGCTTGAGGTAGGACAGTGGGTGTGGGCTTTGAATGAGAATTTAGTATTAAGTGTTAAGTCTTTTATTGTTGAGAATAAAGCATCCTTAGTATATGACAGCAGAGTGGGAAGGGGCTGGGTTTATCTGATATCTTTATGTCGTTCTGGATTGCTGAAGTTGAATCAAGGAATAGGGCCAGGAAGGGAGGATTTAAAAGCTGGGTTCAGAGTTAAATGGCAGTGGGGACCATTGACTGGAGCCAGATGTGATCTTGGATGCATTAACCAAGAATTCTCTGGATGCTATGTGCAGATTTGCATGTGGGAGATACCTGTGTTGTGGGTATCCATAGACATGAGGGAGCTATGGTCTCAAGAGTGATGTGTACTGGAGATGGAATCTGAATTTGTAGCCTGGGGGCTCTAGGGAGAATTCTGAACTCAAATTTGTATATGAGAGGCATGAACTCTAGACCCCAAGGGAACTAGCTGGCAGAAGTGTCTGTCTGGGGGCGCCTGGGTGGCTTGGTCATTAAGCGTCTGCCTTTGGCTCAGGTCATGATCCCAGGGTCCTGGGACCGAGCCCCACATCAGGCTCCCTGCTCAGTGGGAAGCCTGCTTCTCCCTCTCCCACTCCCCCTGCTTGTGTTCCCTCTCTTGCTGTGTCTCTGTCTGTCAAATAAATAAATAAAATCTTTTAAAAAAAAAAGTGTTTATCTGTCCCCCGCCTGTTGTTCTGGGCTGGACAGAAAGATTATTAGGAAATGGGGAGAGTGAGTAGGCACCAGTCACAAGGGCCTGGTATCTGGTCTGAGTTGAGCTGGGGAGGAAAGTGAATGTGTGGTGGGTAGTCCGGGAGTTCAGGGGAGAGCTGCTGCCCCTGTGCTCAGTTGTTGACTTCATGCAGGGTCATGTGACTTTCAAGGATGTGTTTGTGTATTTCTCTTGGGAGGAATGGGGGCTGCTTGATAAGGCCCAGAGACTTGTGTCACACGCAGTGTTTTCTATGCTTTGTGCTTATGTGTTTACAGTCTTCCTGGGTAAGGCCCCACATACCCTAGTTGTCTGGGCTATGTTCTATTCTTTCTTCCCTCAGAGGTTGCCATTTTCTTCTCATAGCTGCCACGGGCACTGCTGTTTTCCCTCACTAAGATAGGTTTTTTGGGTACTGGGGCTTAGCTGTGTATTGCCTCTTTACTACCTGTGCTCCCCAGCCCCTGCTGCCCTAAACCATTACCAGAAAGAGTTTGAGGGTCAGGAGTCTAGTGGTCAGCCCAGTGGACTACCCTGCTTGCCCTTTCCCTGGCTGTATGGCTCTACCCACATTCATGATACCTCTGTACTCTAGACTCTGTCCCTTTCCTATAATTTCCTTGGGCCTGCCTGTCTCATGAATTGCCATCATGGTCACCGCTGTGGGCCCAGTGTGCTGATCCTGCAAGACATTTCTGACGTTCATTTTGTAATATTTAGTTGTCTTAATCTCCTGTGGGTGGGCTGCTCTGGGCCACTGCTTTCCTACTTGCCCTGTCTTTCCTCTATGACTTGTTTTCTTCCAGATCCTTTGTGGTTGCTGAACTTAGCAGGGGGAAGAACTCTGAGTGCCTGACTTAGAGGGACTCTAGCCATGGCAGGAGGGACGTGGACAGGCCCTGGTGAGTGGGAGCTTGGGGAGGGTGTGACTTCAGGGCTGGGTTCAAATAGTGCCAGAAGCCTGTCCTGGCCCCACTCCTGTTTGGTGCCTAGGTTATAGACCATACCTCTTTCTATCTTTTTCTCCTCATTCTGGATGCTTTACACACTTGTCATTTCTGTTCTGACCTCCAACCCAGGGCTGTCCACACCCACTCACCAGTGCTCTCCTGTGTTGGACAATGCTCATGTGTTGTGAGATGTACATATATCCTTAAATGATTCTTGAATACCACCTGCTCATTTTAAATCAGATTTTCCTGGGCCTAGACATATATTTCTGTAAAGTGCTCACCAGTAGCCAGGGCCCTTCTAAAAATCATTTGCACAGGAGTAAATTGGACATCCCGCCTGCTGGTTCTCTCTGAGCTACACCCTCTCCTTGTGTCTTTGTCCCTTGTGCAGACTTCCTCATTCTGTCACTCTTTGAAGCCCAGTATTGCACAGCAGTTTTTTCTTTAACCTGATGCCAAGGCTGCTGTCCTGCCAACACCCGCATAGACTAAATCCTGGGTATACTAGACATATTTGTGACGGGGTTGCCCCTTCCCACCAAAGTCATCATGCACTTCAACAGCATTTGTCTGCCTTCAGGTTGTTGGTGTGCAGGCAGAAATGAAGAGGATGAAGAGGCATCTTCTGAGCAGAGCATTTCTGTAGAAGTGTCACATGATAGTATTTCCAAGGCACGTTCATCAACCCAGATGGCTCACCCTTGTGACATATGTGGCCCCATCTTGAAAGATATCTTGCACCTGGATGAACACCAGGAAACACGCCAAGGACTGAAACCTTATACTTGTGGGGCATGTGGGAGACAATTCTGGTTCAGTGCAAACTTTCTTCAGCACCAAAAGCAGTACAGTGTAGAGAAACCCTTAAGAAGAGACAAAGGCAAGACTTCGTTTGTGAAGAACTGTAGAGTTTATGAAGAACCTCACCTGTCAGAAAAGCCTTTTCCATGTGAGGAGGAGCAGAACTTCCAGGCCAGTTTGGGCAGTCACCAGCAAAAGGCCACCCCTAGCAAGAAGAAGACAAGGAGTACCGAGAGTGGGGAGGCTTCTCACAGTGGACATACACATTACAGGTGCAGTGAATGTGGGAAGGCCTTCAACCGCAAAGACACACTCGTCCAGCACCAGAGAATCCACACCGGAGAAAGGCCTTACGAGTGCAGTGAATGTGGGAAAGCCTTCAGCCGCAAAGCCACCCTTATCCAGCACCAGAGAATCCATACCGGAGAAAGGCCTTACGAGTGCAAAGAATGTGGGAAAGCGTTTAGCCGCAAAGACAACCTTACTCAGCACAAAAGAATTCACACTGGAGAAATGCCTTACAAGTGTAGTGAATGTGGAAAATACTTTAGCCATCACTCCAACCTAATTGTACACCAGAGAGTTCACAATGGAGCGAGGCCTTATAAGTGCAACAATTGTGGGAAAGTCTTCAGACACAAATCCACACTTGTTCAACATGAGAGTATCCATACTGGGGAAAATCCTTATGTTTGCAGTGATTGTGGGAAATCCTTTGGCCACAAATACACCCTCATTAAACACCAGAGAATTCACACTGAGGCAAGGCCTTTTGAGTGCGTTGAATGTGGGAAATTCTTTAGTCGAAGCTCTGACTTTATTGCACACCAGAGAGTTCACACGGGGGAAAGGCCATTTGTGTGCAGCAAATGTGGGAAAGATTTCATCAGAACATCCCACCTTGTTAGGCACCAAAAAGTTCACACTGGAGAAAGGCCATATGAGTGCAATGAATGTGGGAAAGCCTATAGTTTAAGCTCCCACCTCATTAGGCACCAGAAAGTTCACACTGCAGGAAGGCTTTAGGAGTGCTTTCAACACAACGAGACTCATAGGGAGAGGAGCTCTGTGATTACCCTTTGAGAGGAAGACATCAATCAGATGTTGAACCTCATATATCAGCATTACCACCAGGGAGATACCTTATGAATGCCAGGTACAGGGAAGCTTTTCTGGGTTGTGTTGCACTTTCAAACAGGTCCTTGCCAGATTTGTCACGCAATGCCTGTGGCTGAAACCATCTCAGCTCTACCAGCTTAGTTATCATAACATCCTCAGGGAAGGTAGAACTTTGTACTCTCCAGTCCCTGGAGGGAATTACAAGAATCCTGAATTAAATGGGATTTCTCATTTCCTCCCCACTGACTGATAAAAGGTGTGGACTTTACATCTTTAGCCAAGAGGATCTGAGCTGTGTTCTGGCTTACAGAAAAGGTTTATTTTCTTCATGGACATTGTTGGTCTCATGTGTTACTTGTGACAGATTTTCCAGCCTCCAATTCACCTAACCTGGAGAACTACTTGTCTTACGTTGCTCTGGTTTCTGTGATAATAAAGACCTTATTATTGAAGCCATCGTTAATCTTGGACATTATTTTTACTGTTTGGAATGGTTTGAAAACACTTAGGCCCTGCCAAATTGAAGAGATAAACAGTGTGTCTGTGGCGGGGGGGGCTCCAGTTTCATGTGCCTCAAATGGAAGAGCAGGTTGGCAGAGAACCATTTTCAGTCCAGTTTAGGGGTTTATGGGCCTGATTTTGTCTGGATTTCAGAGTTATTTGAAGGCCCAGACATCACCCTGGGGGTGACAACCTTCAATATGTTTGGGAGCAGCATGGATTCTGTGTCTTATTTCCAGCATATATACCATATTTCGCAGCACTGTTGAGGGGAAGCTGTTTCTGAGGACCCGCCAAGTGCCATATGCCCTGAAGGCCAGAATCTGATCTGGTACCCAAGTCTGGCCACAAGACTTACCATTCCAGGAAGGAAACAAAATTGATACAGAAACACTGGGTGTGAATAACTGGGTTTGGGGAGACTGCAGCAAATGAGAGTGGATGTGCCCATTTTAAAAAGACATAAGTCTTTTTATACGTTCCTGTCACTATGGCTCTGTGAGATGGGGATGCATGGGAATTCTTAGCATCTCCAGGGCTGTATCACTCTATGACCAAGGTCAGTGGCAGAGCAAAGAATGTAAAGTTTTATCGATTTCTGTACCTCCCTAGGCTCTATACCTAGTGTCTTTGCTGCATGGGCAAGAAATCTGGGATGGACACTGTGGTCCAAGGATGTAGATTTTGTGACCAGCCAGAGCTGGTGACTCAACTTGGAAACGGCCTTCACTGCTTGCCAGTTCTTGCTGTGGGGAAGAGGTTCTCTTACAAGGCATTTGGAGAAAGATGGTAGAGTCACTATATTGATGCTCAGTCTGGTTTTCCAGTAGAAGTGGAAGACCCAGATGTTGCAGTGGAATCATTTTTTATAGTTTCATTGAGGTGTAGTCAACATGCCATATGCTGCACATACGTAAAGTGTGCAATTTGTGATCCTTAATATATGTATAAACATAAGAAATCACTCAGCCATTGTATTGGACATATCCACCCCCAAAGTTACCTCATGGCCCTTCCTAATCCCTCTCAATGCCCTTTTTTTCTTTAATATATATATATATTTTTAATATCTAAACTATATATATTTTATTAACATATAATGTATTTGTTTCAGGGGTACAGGTCTGTGAGTCATCGGTCTTACACGGTTCACAGCGCTCACAATAGCACATACCCTCTCCTATGTCCATCACCCAACCACTCCATCCCTCCCCCTCCCCTCCACTCCATCAACCCTCAGTTTATTTCCTGAGATTAAGAGTCTCTTATGGTTTGTCTCCCTCTCTGGTTTAGTCTTGTTTCATTTTTCCCTCCCTTCCCCTGTGATCCTCATATCAGTGAGATCATATGATAATTGTCTTTCTCTGGTTGACTTATTTCGCTTATTTGAATGCCCTTCCTAGTACTTCCTATCCCTTCCCACAGGCAACCATTGATTTACTTTCTGTATAGATAAAGTTGCCTTTTCTAGAATCTTATTTAAGTGGAACCTTAGAAGTCTATTAATTGTCCACTGTCTTTCATGCAACATTATTTTGAGAATTGTTTGTATAGATAGTTCATTCTCTTCATTGGTGAGTAATAGTCTATGGATATACTGCAATTTATCCCTTTATCTTTTCTGTGTGTATGTACAAAGTGGTGGTTTTATTAAAGCACGTCCCCTTGGGCAGAAGGAGCTGCCCCTTTATCTTAATTGACATGTTTTTCCCCAAATCCTAGATATTAAAAACAAAGCTGCTGCAAATATTAATGTACAAATCCATATATGGACATTTAGCTGAGGAAATTTCTAAACCAAGTATTTTAAGTGTGGCCTTGTTTCTTACTGTTTATGGTAAAATGTGATAGGGAAGAGATAAACGTAGGGAAGAGCTATTAAACAGAAAAGACCCCAAGACTTTATGATTTGGGAAATTCTTATTCCATCTTAATTGCAAAAGACATTGAAATGAAGTGATTTATGGTCAAGAAAGCATGTTCTGGAGAAATACCCAAGGGTGTAGCTGTACAGCCTTTTGTAATATCTCAGCAAGATCAAAAGACCAAAGTATTTAGTCACATAAAATTTCTTTGAAGAGATTGTGACTAAGCAGGTCTCAGTATAACCAGAGACCATCTAGGAAGTTTAAAGGGATCCCTTGGCTATCTCAACAAAAGCCAAAAAATTGATACAGGATTATCCAGGGAAAGAAATATGTGAACCAACCTCTTGTCTAATGGAACGAATCTCTGTGGTATATACAGAAGAACCACAAAGTTCTTGAAAATTCCTTTCTAGTAGAAACACCTTGAATCTTAAAGGGACAATATGAAATTAGGACCTACAATATTCTGCACACGTGAAACCGCCTGAGAAAATTACTAAGCTGCAAACCTTTGTTACCTGTCAGAGAAAAGGAGGTGGAGGACAGAGCAGAACAGGGTGGGGAGCTGAGAGCCCAGTGGCCAGAGCCCTGAACCATAGAAGGTATTCCCAGGCCTTGATACCTAATGTAGTTTGCTAAACTTGATTTCAAAATTTCTTGGAACTTGTGGCTATTTGTTTATTTTTTCATTTTCTCCCAATTGAAACAATGTATATAACTATTATCCTAGGTCTTCCACCATTTTATTTTGGGAGCAGATACCTTGTTTTCTGTTTTTACAGATCCACAGATGGAGAGCATTGTGTGCCAGGGTGGAGTATATCCAGAGCCTCAGCCATATCCATGTCTGATTTAGACAATTTAGATGATGAGATTTGGGATTTTTGAGCTGATGAGATTTGGGTGTTGAGTTGATACTGTAATGGAAGGAGACATTTTATGATCTTGGGATGGGTAGAATATATTTTACAAGCAGGTCAGATAGGAATCTGCGGACCAGACAGCAAACTGTAATAAATGGAATCACTGTTCCCAAAGATGTCCATGCCCTAATCCCCAGAATCTGTGAATGTTCCTGTAGATGGCCAATGGGGCTTTGCATATATAATGGACTTTGTGATTAGACTTACCCAGGTGGGCTCAATCTAATCACATGAGTCTTTATTATTTTATTTTAATTTTAATTTTTTATTTTTTAAAAATATTTTATTTATTTATTTGATAGAGCACAAGCAGGGGGAGCAGCAGGCAGTGGGAGAGGGAGAAGCAGGCTCCCTGCTGAACAAGGAGCCGGATGTGGGGCTTAATCCCAGGACCCTGGGATCATGACCTGAGCTGAAGGCAGACGCTTAACTGACTGAGCCACCCAGGCGCCCCTCACACGAGTCTTTAAAAATAGAGAACTTTTTCCAGCTGTAGGGAGAAAGAGGCAGACAGAAGAGTCAGATGTGGCTGTATCAGGCCCTTTGGTGCCCCATTGCTGGCCCTGAGATAAAGCTAGGAACTAAGTTGAGCACCACACATCTGATAGCATCTTTAGTTCTGGCTCAGCAAGATCAGACGGTCAAAGTATTGATCACACAAAGAGCCCTTAGAAGAAATTATGTGATTTTGCAGATTACCTCATTACAGAAAGCACCCCGGAAGCTTAGAAACCTCAGTCCTACAACCACATGGAACTGAATTCTGCCAACAGAGCACACAAGTAGGAATCTGATTTCCCAGAGCTTCCAGAAAGAAACAGCTTGCCAACTTCAGGCACAGCTGGAGCCCCAGGGACTAGGGGAGAGCTCCACTGGCCGGTGCAATGCATCAAAGGTATGAGGGAGCTGGGGCCTGCCAGGGTAGCACTTGCCTGCAGAGAGGCTTTGGTTCAGAGGGGAAGGAAGCCAGAGCCTTAAATCCTGAACTGCTGGCTCAGAGGTGCGGTGTCAGGTGGGTACCCAGGCAGAGTCAGAGAGAGCTCTGGTCTAACTGGCTGTACCTCTCGGCTCTCAGGCCCCCGGGCACCAGGTTCTGCTGCCTCCCACCTCCGCAATCCCTAGCAGCCCAGGGCTCTCCATGTCCCTATTGGCCCTAGGAATTCCGTCTTCGCCTAATGGCTCCTTGGCGGCAGCACTGACTCCCTGGACCTCTTGCACTATCAAGACACCCAGCCCTGTGGCTGTCCAGGCCCTGTTCTGCATCCTTAGCAACCCACTCCCTCTATGGCCTGGCCTCTGTGCTGGCTTCTGAATCCCCTATCCCCATGCTCTCCTCCTTCCTGCCCCCTGTGTCCTCAAGGCTACTTCTCTCACCTGCTTCTGCACTGCTGCCTACTTCGCCCTAGCCCCTATAACCCACCTCCTTCCATCTGGTCTCAAGCTCAAGCTGCAGGCCCCTGTGCCTTATCCCTGGCACCTCGAGGTTTTAGCTTCTCTCTGCCTGCTGAGCCTGCTGCAGAATCATTCCCTTTCTGGGGTGCCTGGGTGGCTCAGTCTGCCTTCAGCCCAGGTCATGATCTCAGGGTCCTGGGATTGAGCCCCGCATTGGGCTCCCTGCTAGACAGGGAGTCTGCTTGTCCCTCAAATTATTGATAGGTATGTATTTATTTCCATTTTGTTACTGTTTTGTAGTTGTTCCTGTAGATTTTCTCTGATCCTTTCTTCTCCTACTCTCTTTCGTGATTTGTTGACTTTCTTTAGCAATATCCTTGGAATTCTTTCTCTTTATTCTTTGCACATCTATTACTGGTTTTTGATTTGCAGTTGCCATTAGGTTTGTGTATAA